TTATATATTACTATCTTCTATATACTTACCTTAATTAAGTTATTAAAGTATACTACTATATTAATATTATATTTATAACCTAAGAGATTAAGGATTTCTACTATAAGGCTTACTATCTTACTAAGTCTACTAAGATTATTAATAGAGACTTTCTACTACTATTAATTAATATTAGTAATAAGATCTATTTTAATATTATTAAAGTTAAGCTTCTCTCTATTATAAATAAGAGATATATTCTATACTTTATAGATTACTATAGTAGCTATTACTAAGTTATACTTCTATTTAATTATAACTATAAAATTATTCTTAATATTATTAAGATATTTAGTGATATCTTTATTAATATAATATATATTAATATTAAGACCTAGGTTTATAATAATATACCTAAGTTTAAGAAGGTTCTTTAAGACTTATTCTTCTTTAAGTCTTATATAAATATATCTATTACTAATACTTTATTTATAAATAATACTATTAAAAGAGCTAGAAAGATTATTATTAAAGTATCTTAAACTTAACTAATTAATATTAATTTTCTAGAGGAACTTTAAAACTATACTATTAACTTTATTATTTAGATCTTTAACTTTCTTCTATAAGCTAATAAGGGTAAGCTAAATCTTTATAAGATTATAGTTTATAAACTTAATTTTGTAGCTAATTATAAGCCTCTATATATTAAATATCTCAGAACGTTTAAATATATTACTTATATATATAAAAAAGGTTTTAATAAGCTTACTTATTTAGCTAAAATAGAAGCTAGAGTAATAAAAAGCTTTCTTATTAGCTATAGCTTACTTTATAGTTATATCTACTATATTTATATTTCTAATAAGAAAAAGGTATTCTACTACTAAGATATCTAATTTTATAAATAGCCTTAGAAGATAGTTCTTCTACCTATTACTAAAACTTCTATTACTAATAATAATAACTATATTATTTATTTTAATAATCTTAACCTTCTAATTTATCACCTTATTATATCTAATATAACTAATACTCTTAAAGAACTTATTACTAATATTAATAAATAGACTTCTAATAATAAAAGTATTAATCTAAAGCTAGCTTATATTAACTATATAATATCTCTACTTCTAAAAGAAATCTTTTATTACTAAAATATTATAAAAGATATAACTATAATAACTAATAATACTATATAAATATCTTTAGAGACTAATATATAAAATAATAATAATAATAACTTATTTAAGAGTATACTAAAAAATAAAGAAACTAATTATAAAGATTTAGCTTATACTATAGATATTATTAAAGAAGTAACTAATATAATAATCTTAGAGATAGTAATTTAGAATAAATTTTATTAAGTAGCTTAGAAGCCTAAAGGATACTACTATTAGCTTATTAGAGTTTATAAGTATAAAAAGAAGCTTTTCATAACTACTAATATTTAGGTTTTAAATTATACTTATTACTTTATACTTAATATTATTATTACTACTACTCTATTAAAGGTTCTACTTAATAGTATTATTATCTTAAAGTTTTATAATAATATTAAGTTTAGCTTTTAATAGTTTAACTAAAAAGTAGTATTTAAGTATAAAATATAATAGTTCTATAATAAAGAAGTATATAAGCTTATATACCTTCTTTATAACGCTAAGATCTTACTTAGTAAATAGGTACTTAATATTAAGACTAATAATAATAATAAGATTATCTAATATAAAACTTATTAAGTAGTTTATAATAACTATAAGTATAAAGATTAATCCTCTTAAGAGGTTTATATAGCTATTACTATAGCTACTATAATCTATATATTCTTCACTATTATAGCTTTTTATAAACTTAAGTATAAGATATATAACTTTAATATAGCTTTCTTAACTACTCCTATCCTTAATAATATAAAAGTCTATATATACTAGCTTCTAGGCTTCTCTATAGATAATAGTAAGGTTTAGTTATTTTAAAAAGCATTTTATAGCTTTTATAAGAGCTTTTTTTAATAGTTTAACTATATTAATATTAAGATATAAAAGCTTAGCTTTACCTCTATTAATAATAAGGTCTACTTATTTATTAATAAGTTACTTAAAGCTTATACTTTTATATATATTAATAATAATATTATTACTACTCTTAATAAGAAGATAACTAAGTAGGTTTATAATATATTTAGTAAGGTTTACTCTCTTAAAGACCTTAGTAAAGCTATTAAGTTTCTAGGTTTTTAGATTATTTAAAACTATATTAATAACTAAATCTTTATTAACTAAACTAAGTATACTAAAGCTATCCTTACTTATTTTAGATATAAAGATATTAACCTTATTAAGATTCCTATAGTATTTTATAAAAAGCTATTAATAATATAGGACCTTAAAAAGTATATAGAGGAGGAATATACTATCTATATTAAAGAGATTAGTTATTATAACTACCTTACTATTAATATATATCTTAATATATCTTATATTATTAGTAAGTTTAGCTAAGCTAATACTAAACCTTTTAAGGCTTATTTTTATACTATAAAGTATCTCTTTTAGTATTTTAAGAGAACTATCTACTATAATATTATTTTTAGTAGTTCTAACTTAATAATTAACTATAGCTTATATACTATAGTAGATTTATCCTTTATAAATAATAAGCCTTTTTATATCTTAATTAGTAGTTATATTATTTATTTTACTAATAGTTTAGTTACTTAGAAGTTAAAAAAGTAGACTTTTATTACTTTTAATTTAACTAAAGCTAAGTATATTAACTTAACACTTATTATAGTTACTATAAAATAGCTATACTATATAGTTAAATAGTTCTTTAATTAGAAGATCTTTATACTTATTATTCTTTTTACTAATAGTACTAATATATATATTAATATTATAAACCTTTTTAATAAAGCTTAGACTTATTATATTAACCTCTATTATAAGTAGATTATTTAAAAAGCTATTTATAATAAAACTATTATAATCTATTAGATTAAAAGTAATAAGATACTTATTAATAGCTTTATAAAAAGCTTTAACTTTTATAAGTATATTAAGTTTATTAGAATATTAAGATTAATAGAAGGTTTTAATTAAATATAAAAGGATAGAATAGAGGATATTAACTAGCTTAGAGAAAGATTAATTTAAGCTTTTTAAGCTAATTAGAAACTAAGGATTATTTAGCGTTTTACTAAGTTATTAAATAGTTAAAAACTTCTTATTTTTAAGCTTTTTAGTTTAAGGAGTAATTTTAGTTAGAGTAGCTAGTTTATATATTAGCTAGTACTATAAAGCTTAAGGGGGGGTGTTAATAAGCCCTACTACTTAGCTACTACTCTTATAACTTACTAGTAAGTACTAGAGGCTACTATATAGCCTTCTCTAGCACCCTAGCGTCTAGCTAGTTCTTCTCTATAGCATATCACAGTTATCACTACGTTCTCAGAAGATGACCGCTAAATCATTGCTCGAATGCTCCGATTTGACGATCAAATGGACAACACCTGGTGAAATCCATATTTTTGGGCGAATTATCCCATCTCCATTGATAACCCACCATCATCTCCCTGCTCCATTGGGAATTAAGGTACTGGTCAGTGCGTCGTCCCGCATCGAGCTCGCCGACAGGGTGCCGAGGATTAACCGACTTGAGCAGAAGCACAGGGACGCACTCCAAAGCTGAGGGGCTCAAGGTACCTGAAGCCCCACCATTCCAACACCGAACGCCAGCGAGCTCCAAAACCACATCGTCACATCTCACCAGCTTCACCTCCCTTTCGCCGCCACCCCTCCGATTCGAAATCCCAGCACCCGACCGACGTACCGTTCGCCCACCATGGCCGCCAAGGCAGACAAGATCGAGAAGATCATCGCGCGGCTGCAAGCCCGTATTGAGGAGGGCCAGTACTACGAGGCCCAGCAGCAGACTCGCGTGGTTGCTGCCCGCTACATCAAGGCCGCCAACTGGCCCGCCGCCACCGACATTCTCTACAATGTTGCCCAGTCACTGTTGAAGGCCGGCCAGGGCGGCTCGGGAGGTGACTTGTGCGTCATGCTTGTCGACGTCTTTAAGCAGGCTGAGTTGAAGCCCGACGCAACGAACAAGGGCAAGCTGCTTACGTGCTTGCGTTTGTTCCCTGCGGCGGAACCGACCAGAAAGAAGTTTGTCGGAGAGATGGTTGCGTGAGTATTTTCTTGGAAACTTGGAGAAGCAGACCTCGTGTCTAACTGGACATATAGGTGGTCATCAAAGTTCGGCGAGTACCCCGCCGGTGATTCCGATCTCCACCACGTTGCAGGATCACTGTACGCCGAAGAACACGAGCCCTACGAGGCGGAAAGACACTTGGTATTAGGTACGAAGGACTCGGCTGAGGTTCTCGCTCGTATGGAGTACGCTTGGTACAAGGAGGACGACTCGCACACCGCCCCTCTATACGCCGCGCGCGCCATCCTCCCATACCTTCTCGTTGGCAACGTCCGCGCGGCCAACACCTCCTACCGTCTCTTCACCTCCGCCCTCAGCGACGACAACAAGGGCCTCGGCGTCCAGGATGTCAGCAGCAACAGCGCCGACCTGCGCATCTTCCCGGGTCTGCCCCTCCTCAACTTCCTCGGCCTCCTCCTGCTCGCCATCCAGCGCGGCACCCCGGACGTCTACAAGCAGCTCGTCACGAAGTACTCGTCTAATATCTCCGAGGTCGGTGCATGGAGCGAGGCTCTCGAGCTGATCGCTGAGATGTACTTTGGTATCCAGCGCCCAAGGCAGAGCAACCCGCTCATGGACATGATGGGCAGCCTGTTTGGCGGCCCTGGCGGTGGTGCGCCGCAGCAAAGACGCCCCGCCCCGAGACGTGTGGAGGCGCCCCAGGCTGAGGGACTTGACTAGATGTTCCAGTTGTTCGGCGTAGATGGCCATCGCGCATAGCGAGCGCGATCATAATGAACATACTTGGAATGAATGCGAATCCAGGCCGTAAAAGAACGGTGAAAGTTGGCTTGTGCCGCTCAGTAGCCACGAGGCTGTTCCGGCTCGGCCTCGTACCTCCAGTTGTCTTCGGAGAGGGCAGCAACCTTAGCCCGTAAACTCGCCTTCACGGCTTCGAGTAGCTCTGTGGGGATTAATCAGGACCAGCGCACCTCGGAGTCGTCAGATAGGGGTTAGCTTACCTTCAGGTTGCTCGCGAACGGCAGTGTGGTTGACCTGATGCTGCTTCACGGCCTCCGCAAGCCTCTGCCGCTCCTCTATACCGATAGTTAGCATACATAGCTCTATACCCTCAATGCAAAGCTTGAACGAAGCAACATACTCTTGCTCTCCTCGCGATCATCCAGCGCGGCCTCGTCCGCCTCGTCAAACACCAGCGTCGGCAGCTCGCCGAGTTCAATCTCACCGTGCTCATCGCGCACAACAATCTCAAGGGGCCCCTGGGGCGCCGCGCTGCCGTCGGAGAGCACATCGACATCAAGCCTCAGCGTCTCGGCCGAGTTGCCGGACGAAGAAGTCGGTGCCGTGGAAGCCATACCCGTCGGCGCATTCGCGTTTGCTGCTGTCGTGCCCGTCGGGCGTCTAGTCAGGCCTTGAAAGAGGTTGCGACGGACTGCGCGACGCGGGGCGCCGGGGGGAGGCGCCTGGCGCGATGTCCTGTCGGCCATCGCGATGGTTGTTTCTTTTTTTTTTTCTCCCTGAATGTGTAATTGCTTTTGCCTTCGCGACGGAATGTTTCGCGAAACAATTCTGTTAAGACGAAACAATTCTGTTAAGACGAAACAATTCTGTTAAGACGGTTCAATCGAGTATGATCCAGGGATGACGGTGGATGGGGGTTTAGAATTGGTAGGGATTTGGTTGGAACCTTAGAGCGGAGTTATTTCCAATGTAAATGTGAAAGCCTCTGTTTACTTAGGTGTGAGGTCGGCCGGGCACCGCGGTCGTCATTGGAGGGCCAGTACAGTACTAACAACGCTGTGTCATAGAGTATCCGCACTGTAATCTTCGCACCAGAGGGATGACCTTACCAGCGGACCTATCTATACCATACAAGCATAAACACATGATGAAAGTTTAGGTATGGATAATGGGCGATATGATTGATTTGAAATCGGGTAATCACGAGTTTCATAGACTCATGAAGATTTGAATCAGTTTGAGTTATTGAAGTGAAAGGATTAATAATATTGAATCATGTGATTGTTCTGCCAGTGTTCTGTTCCTGCATCCACCATTTGTCTCAGAGCATCTTCCAAATCCGACCTCTCCAAATCTCTCAGTCTGCGAAGTGACACAACCTTAAGAACTAAAAAAGTCCATCTTTGAATATCATCCAAGCCTAATTTCGGGAACTTCTCCCTACCGGGTGTGAATGCACTCACCCAGCTACTTAACAACCCTCTAGAAGCGAATTTGTTTTTGGTTAACCCGGGCGACGCCATGCCAAGATCCCACATCTGAAGCATAGTCGGCAAGTCCACGTAGACGGGCCCCTGGGCACTTTTGAGTATCTCGTTCTCTTCGCTTTCGAAAATTTGATTGTGGCCATTTTCGCTCCATGGAGCGGTTTTCCTCGTCCCCAGGAGTTTGTATCCCACGAAACACACAGTCATATCAGAGCCATACTCCAAGTACAAGTCAAGGAACGGCCTCCACTCTAGTCCACGAATGTTTCGTCTTGTTGTTCCGCGTTCTGCGATTCCCATCAAGAACGATGTCCAAGGTGTCCAGGATGGCGAGTACAAATAGTTCTCTTCAACCTCCAAGGAGACAATGCTGCGAATTTCGAAATTCGGTGATGCACTCCGCTCGAGTAGAAACCGGATCAATGCTGCTTGATTCATGGCCTCTGGCTTTTTGTGTAAGTAGCTTGCTTGTGGTGATGCAGCCCAGAGTATTAGACTGCTGACTTCGGCATCTAGATTGTGCTTGTGGACTGTGCTCTTGACATACTCAAATGCACCGTATCTCGCTGCAAGGCAGAGGCTAGCAGCATCGAGTTCGTTTGGCATAGAGGCCTCAATCCGCCATACGATCGGCCCCCAGCTAATTCCCTCAGCAAGTTGCCAGCTGTCAAAGCTCGAGATGGGAAAAGTCATCTGCTTCATCGACTCAATTTCTGCCGTGAGGTGATGATTGCCTATCATCTCTGCGTGAGCCGCAACATCTAGCATTCCGAAGAATGCTTCACGGCGATGCCAGTCATTTTCGTCGTCGTGGTTGTCAACGCTTCGATGTCCTTGACATTGAAATACCCATTGCTGCTCGGGGACGTGCTTCCTGGCGGCCAGCAGCCCAAGAGCTACACCTCGGTGAGGTAAAAAGTCTCCGGCCATTTTCTTTAGGTTCTGTACCGTTTCTGGCCCACGCAGGAAGTCACTGAACGTTCGATGAACGAATTGTACTTGATGGCAAAGGGGGAAGTTCCTGCCAGTGACAGCAATGTTCACCAAGCCTCGGCAGCGCCCATTCAGTCGATTTGCCATTACCGCACATATCGACGTCCCATATCTGCCCTCTGGGGAAGGTTGAAGCTTGCCATCAAGCAAACTTTCTTCATGTTCAGGATCGTCGACGAGGTTGTCGAGAACTGCGTGAGTGTACACCCACGCCGTAGGATTGTAACTGAAAGCACCAATTTCCATGACCAAGAATGTTCGAGCTGCTGCCTGTTGTTCGAGTTGGTCGATTCCATATAACATGTAACGAAACATGGAATCGATTTCAGCTGGAACGGCATCCAGCCTTTTGCGAAGTTGCGTCAATGAACAGCAATTTCCAATACCATGTAAAAGGGAGCGAATAACCATGATGACCCAGATGAATACTCCGTCAGCCTTCCCAATGATCGAATCGGTAAGCTTGTCGTAGTCGGAGCTGTCTTTGCTCATTTTCTGAGCTTCGACAAATCGTTCGTCGCTCGCAAATTGATCGTTCACCACCTTGAGTATATCTTCCTGAGTCAATTCGTGTAATTTGAGCCAATAACCATTCTCTGGCGCAAAAGCTCTCAAAAACTCATTATGGGGACGGCTTGATACGCAGAGCTTGACATCGGAAGCAGCACACCAGCGCTTGAGCTCTTTAGTGAGGTGCCAGTGATCCTCCTCGCATTCGTCGAGACCATCGATGAAGAAACACAATTTGTGCTTGCTGAGGATTTCTTGTCCACTCACAAGCTTCTGGAAGGCTACTTGAAGAGACTGTTTGGTAAGGTCGGATTCGTGAATCGAACCTTCAAGAGCTCTTCGCCATAAGTTGGGGAATATTTGTTGCGTTAAATCGGGCCTTGATTGTAAGACTTCCCACAAAATACTTCGATAAAGCCCCTCGGTGGTCTTTTGCTCTTTGGTTCCCGAACTCCAAAAGAAGAATTGGACCAGAATGATATCTTTAGCATCAGTGTTCGCCCAGGCCTCAAGCAATTGTTGCGTGAGCGGATCCTGGCTAATGTACTTCAGGAGGGTTGATTTCCCTGACCCAGGCTTTCCAGATATGTAGAAAAGTCCGTTTCCAGTCTGAAGCCAATCGAGAAAGTGTCCTCTCCAAACCTGTCTTTGGAGCTTCTCTTTCTGTGACTGGAAATTCGTCGTCGAACATTGATCGGAGTTCACGTCAATGCGATTTGACGATTCTACTTCTGGTGGTCGAACATTACTCTGCTGGCTGATAACACTAGCTTGCTCCGGCTTATAGAAAGACGACGACGGCGACAACGATGGCGACGATGTTTGAATATCCGAACCTTGTCCAAAATCGTCGTCTGGGTCATACAGAAGCCAACGGTAAGTTCCTCTGTGAGCCTTGACAACCAAACTGGACCGTAGTCGAAGCTCTGGGAACCAGAGCAAATCGGAAATCTTTCTTTCGGCACTGATTGTTGTCATTCTTTCGGAAATGTCCAACAAGGCCACACGGATGTCTTTTAGGATGTCTTCGTAGGAAACTGATGCGCCCTTTACCGGAACAGCTCGGTTGTCGTCAGCTTGCGAATGAACTAGAGAGAGCAATCTTTCGCGAATCTCGCAAAGATCCTGTTTCATTTCCATGACGTGGACCTTGTCCTTCGATCGCTGCGATTCAAGCCGAGCGTAATTCTCTTGATTTTCATCCCTAATTCTTTGATTAGAATGAGGCATATGCATACTGCAGTCGAGGTAGCCCATACCTTAGCATGGAAACAAGCTGACCCAAAATTTGGCTTTGATATCTACCCAACCTTTTTCCCAACCCTTCAAGCTTACCCTTGGTTCTTAAAGATCTCCAGGCGGCGCGAAAGCTGTCCCTCCGTGAACTAGGGTCTTTACCCTTGATCTTTTCAACCGTGTCTTTCAATTCTCCACAAGTCTTGTGACAATTGAGGACGAGCGTCTCCAACGCTCTGTCTTCAGGAGGCGCTGACGGCGACAAGGCTGGTGGGGACAATCGACTCATGTAGGATTTGAGGCTGTTCGTGATGACGGTCACATCTTCGAGCTCAGCTGTGAGACCCGATGTGGAATGATATATGTTAGAAGCATCACGAACGAGATTTGAAGAGAAATCGATGAACTGGAGCACGTTCGAAGCGAGACCGAGTGCCGCTAACGGCTCCATGGCTGTCTTTCATGGAGCAACTCAGGAAATATTGATGGGGATGTAGAAAGAAGAATCAGGCTGAGCGGTGGATTTAATGGGAAGTAAGCCACGTCGGTTTGCGCAGGTGATCTTCTGCAAGCTTGTAGCAGGGCCAATAACAAGCGCAGCAAGGCAGATTCGAAGAAAACAAATCACCTTGTCAGCAGTAGTCATTGGTTGCTATTGTACCGCATAGCAAAGAAGCTTCCTCGACTCTTTCTTGGCAGACGGATAGCAGAGGCAAGTTGGCAACACATTGGCAGACTACGAGAATGCCTCTGGTCAATGAGAGGGGGAGCACTACAACAAGCAAGCAATCAATCACAATATGAACGACCAAGTAGAACATCATAATTCATTGAACGAAGGGCATGTACTCGTCGAAATTTTTGTTTACAGAACCATCCTCGCATCGACATGCATGATTCCCATTACGTATCGTACATTAGAAGAGAACTCCCACACCATGATGAGTAGTAGACCATCAAGAAACAAAAAGCCGTAAGCCCAGGAACCCAAATAACCACAAAGAAAAGAAGAAGAAAAGACGCAACGCAATTTACAAGAGAAAACGCCGAGATATGCATGAGGTACCCCGAACCAAACCGTGTCATGACCGCTTAAAGCCCTTTCCCCTTTTTTTGCTTTTCAACATTGCCCTTGGAAGTTCTGCAGATACGCGTGGGAAAAAATTCAAGACGCTGCTCAACCAACGCAAACCCATTCGGCAAATACACACCAGCGAGCGGTGCGATCTGCCAAGACGAGACCTCTCCACACTCCCTTCTCCGAACACTTGATGATGGTCTCCCACGTACCACCATCGCTGGTTTCCTCATCGATCCCCCTGCTGCCGACACTGATTCCCCGGCGATCCTCCTTCCGCATAAGACGGAGAATCTTGCCACCGGGGGTCTGAATGGCAAGCTTTGCCGGTTTCTTCCCTGATGACCCGTTGCCGGAGACGTTGGATCCACTGACGTTCGACGCGGTCATACTCAAGGCTGAGCTGGGTCTCGCGAACGGGATCGGGCTTGCGCCTCCGGGGTTCGACGATGGTGTCATAGGCGACCCACTGCTAGCCAAAGAGCTAGGGTGCTGTCGGATCGCGAAGACGAAGGTGTTGTTCAAAGCCAGACGTTGGCATTGGGGCTGAACAACATAAATGTCGTGGCGTTGGGCGTGAGGTGTGGGATGCCTTGTCACGAACTCATAGGGAGGGTTCTCTCCCGTATGAATGATCGGAAGGGCGAAGGCCACCGGATGAGGGATGTCCTTGATGCTATGCATCAGGCCACGCTTGCCGGCATAAATCTTCAAGGTTCCTTGGCCTTCGTCGCCTGGAAGCAGAGCCTTGACAGTGTATCGTTTGATACCGTTGAACCATTCGGCTTGGGCCAGCGCCCTCTTCTTCACCACATCACCGCTCTCGAAAACGTCGCCGTCCACATCCCTCGTGTAGCCTCGGACCTCAACCTCTGCTGCAACCTCCACATCAGCTGGAGCGTTAAACTTGATATGCACCATCTCCAGGTCTTCTATGCGAGTCGCCGCTGTGTTATAGTCGACCATCTCGAGATCGTTCTTGAAGAAGGGAGGGCAGGCGCAAGGCAGGTTGAGAAGCACCTCGTGTGCTTGCGGAGGGCAGACGTGTTGCTGAGAGTGGTGCTCAGGGATATGTGTCCAGCAAATCTCGGTCGGCCTTGCAAGGAACCACCAAGAGTCAGCTGCACCACTGCCAGCACTGGAATAGAGATGTCGCCTTGGGTATGATGGACTAGCCATACAACAGTCCACCATACGCCATTCATTGTCGACCAATACGGCGTTCCACCAGTGGTTTGCCCGAGGCATGATGTTGTGTTCTGGAATCTCGCCTGGCGTCTTGAGGTACCCGCGAACCATTTCGCAATGAATGCCTACCGCGGTACACATCTCTTGTACCAGAGCAGCGTACTCTTCCGCACAAGCTCGCTTCGACTGGATTACCCGCCTGGTGTTGATCTCCCCCTCAAAGTCCTCTTCCCAGCAGATCTTCTCGGACACCCAGGTAAAGATTGCTCGCATTCGCTGGACATCGCTGCGGTACGGGCGACATACGTAGGTCGTCGCCAGAGAAACCGCGGTTGTCATTGGTGGTAGGCTGCTTATGAATCTCGAGTTCTTGTCGACTTGGGTGAGATTTAATGCCTGATAATCAATGGGATCTTCGACTGGTGAGCCGTCCGCGCCCTCGTCACCTTCAATGCCGTCATAGAGCTCGTCGACGGGGTTGAGGGCTGGGTAATCAAGCATCTGACAGCGATCTCTCCGTTCATTTCGTTCGTTTTTGCTCAGAGAGTTGGATCGATTGACATCTCTGCGGACCTGCACCCAGTCGACTCCATTCGCCATACCCATTTCCCTGGCTGCTTCCCTACCGAAGCCAGTGCTTCCCATACCGGTAATGTTAGAGATGGCATTTCCAGCGGGGGAAGCGACGTTGGGCATAGAGCGAGCGAAAGGAGACGACCGGGGCGAGTCACCGCCCATGGCAATACTACTGCGTCCGGAGGCGACTCCAGTCTTGGCCGTGTCGAGAAGCTTCTTGAAAATGCTTCTTTTGGCGGGCTTTGGAGTCACGAGCCCTCCAAGCCCTGGGTCCTCGAGGAAGCCAGCTTGCGATTTCGGACGAGCCACATCGGATGCGTGGCTGCTGTGGTAAGTGACCCCTGTGAAGGGAGTTTCCGGTCGTTCGATATCAGCATCACGCATCCCAAGGGCACTCTGAGCACGCTTCTGGGTCTTCCGAGCAAAGCTGCCGGCGCTTGTAGCGCTAATGGCGCCAGCTGAGGATCCACTCATTAAACTCCTGTCGCTGCTCTGGGTCGTCGAGCTCTGATTGCCGGACGATGCGCTGGTTGAGTTGGTCTTGGTCGTAAAAGTCCTGTTCAGTACGTTCCGGCCAATATCGTAAGCCGACTTCCGCCCTCGAAGCTTCCTCTCCTCCGGTCCGCCCATGGATGATTTCGGTCTCTCGTAAAGTGCGCCTTTCGGGGGCGGCTTCGGTCCCTCGTCCTCAAGGTCAGCCATGCTTGCGCTGTGTTGATGCATTTTCTTTAGACGGCTTTCCATACGCTCGACGTAATTACTGAGTTGAGGCAGTTGCTCTTTGTCTTCTCGGTGTCCGCTCTGTCCGTTCTGATAGGATTGATCGCGCGAGGATCCACCGCTCCAAGTCTCGTATCCTTCGTCCTGTTGTGCTATACCCATGGAAGTCAGGGGTCGCTGGTAAGTATTCTTCCTTCGTTGACGGTCATTGACCATATTGAAGGACTCAGGTGACCACGGGTCCAATGCTGGGTCCGGTGTCGGGTCTCGAGGCATTCCTAGAGCATCCAATTGCTCTATCACGCCGTCCATAGCTTCCCGCAATGGCGATGGGGTCATATGACTGGCTGATGGGGAGGGTGGAGCAGGAGATGGCATCCGTTGAGTTTGAATCGCTGGCGGTCTGTGGGAGTATGACAAGTGCGAACCATGCCTGTCCAAAGGAGGATGCCGGTTTTCGTACGAGGCGTTCGAGCCTTGACGTACGAGATCTGTCCGCTTATCGTAAGAGCTATTTGACCCATGCCGCGGGTTGAAACGATCTTCGAAGGAAGAGTTGGACCCATGACGAGGGATATCGTGCCGACTGTCGTAGGACATGCTCTGCTTGTGTCGCGGCGCACCCACGTGCCGATGCGGTGGGGGTGGTGGAGGCGGGGGGGAGTCAACTTTCCCTTGGGGAGGTCGGTACGGCTTGTAGCTGAACGAAGGGGCTGGCGAGGGATCTCTTGAGGCGTGATGCGGAGGTATGGGCGAGGCCCCTCTGTCGGTGTTGTAAGAGTTCGCTCGTGATCCATGACCATAGTCGGGAACGGGCGTTCTCGCACGCAAGTCGTGATCAGGGTTGGGCGTTCTCGCCCGATGGTGGTCCACAACTGGTGTCCGGGCTCGGTGGTGTTCAGGAATAGGCGTTCTGCCACGATGATGCTCGGGAACTGGTGTCCTGGATCGGTGGTAGTCATTTACCGGAGTGCGTCCTCTTGGAATGTACTGCTGTGCGCCGTCGTTGAAGGAGTTGCCCCGCGATACGTAACCGCTGGGCTGAGGCGTTGTGTATGCTCGCATTCTAGTCGAGGCAGTTTCATTGAAAGAGTTCTCTCGTGAGAGGAGGGCAGAAGGCGCCGGTGATCGGTCTCTGAGCATTGAAGGTGCCGGAGAGCGATCCCTCCTGCTGCTCTCTGGTACCGCGCTGTGAATGGACTCTCCCGAGTGCCCTCTAGGCCTTGGGTTGGGGTTCGTTCGGTAAACCTCGGGCTGCTTCGCTGCGGTGTAGTGCGGTGCCTTGGCGTACGCTTCGAAAGGCTTACGGAACGTCCTCGATTTCTGAGGTGTGCTCGGGCTGGGCGTCTGGTCGGGTAGAGGACTTGCAGACCTCGTCGTCGGTCGAAAATCGGAGGGAAGCACCTCGACGAAGTTGGACGGAAACACGCCTACAGTCCGCCTGTCGCGCCATAATCTGCCTGTCCACCATGAACCATCGCCAGCATTCAGACATTCAATCAAGTCGCCCTCGATGAAGCCGAGGTCTCGCTTGCTCTGTGGTGAGGAAAATAAAGTTAGCCATTGGGAGCGCGTGTGGTAAACAACTACTTCTGTTTACAGACCTCTCCTCCCCATGAGTAGACAGCCCTGCACCAGCACGGAAACCGCATCGGCAGAGGCGGCGGTGCTGGCACCATCTTGGCACTTTGATTTCAAGATGCCGGTTGTCGAGTGGTGGGCGATCAGTCGGTGGTCGATGTCGCGGAGTTCGGTTGCGGTTGCGGTTGCGGTTGCGGTCGCGATGTCCAGTACACGGCTCGTGCTGGATTAGGCTTATCTGACGCGATCGTGTAAGTTGCGACGGGCAGTGGGCGCCATACAGCAGGGCGCGCGCAACAAGACGAAACTGGCTCAACCGCGGAGGAGGGGAATGACGACGAAGTTTCAAGCACCCGTAGCGAGACGAAGCGAGGACGGGGCTTGGAGGTCTCGTGGGAAGATGGCTTCGGACGAGGTGAGGAATGCAGCGGTCTTCGCGTGCACGTCGACAATGACCTTGTTGGAGTGGGTAATCAGGAAATCGGAGTTGACGTGAGATGGCAAAGGCAAACGAGCCTGAAAGTCGGACACAACTTCCAAGAAGGGGATGCGGTGAATGTCAGTGCCAGCCGGGGTGCGGACCCGGGGCAACCAACAAACAGAGGGGCTCGTCGGCGGGGCAACAACTCCAAACACCACAAGCGGAGGCAGAGGCTGGCCAACTGTGCGCCGGGGGGAGCCCCACCCGCGGCCATGGGTCCTATCAGGACGCGGTAAAGTCGCAGCAGGCGACAAGCTTGTAACGGGTTGCGACCTCCTGTGCGGCTGGCGCATCTCCACCGTCGACTAGCGGATCCCGCCTGGCGAGCAGCGCTAAGCTCCATCAGTGCGTAGGTCCTCAAGAGTCAAGCCTGGAGTCGCAGCATCTGTGCCCCCCGGAACCTTGGTCTTGGTCAGTCACCGCCTGCGATACCGTGCAAGGTACGACGGATACCCGACAAGATTGCTGGGTTCCCAGGGTTTTGCTGACGATATCGCTCCCTTGACGTGGGCCTTTGGAGAGCCGTCACTTGCTGAGATACGCCCCGGTCCCTCCCTCCTTGCCTCGCCCTTGCAGATTGTTCCGCCTCAAGTTCCTGTCTCCCAGCAGCCAGCGCCAGCGAAGCCAACACACCAGAGGGTCAACCTTGGGAAGCCACTGGGTCACAGACGACGCTACTGATGGGCCCTGCATGCCAACTCAACGACTAGACGACACTGGGCCGTCTAAGGTATCTGCAAGGCAACCTGTCTGCATACTCTGGATACTCCATCACCGGCCTCGACCAAGAACAAGACATCAAGCACACATTCAGAGCGACGTAAAGAGGGTCACGTCCACTGTCCACTGGCATGCAAACGACGCAAGCACACGACAGTCGGCCCCTTCTCGTAGGTCACAATCACATTTCTCTGCCGTCGACATATCTTGCTTTTAACCTACCTTACATCCATCAATCCACCGCTCCCACACTTTCCGCCTTTTTCCTCTACCCTTTTTCCCTTTCTTTTGTTTGCGATTCACGATGCTTCAGAAACAACGGCTTCCCACCGGCACTTTTTCGTTTGCTTTTCTGTATCAAGATCGGCTGACTCGCCCCGGCTCCTAGAACCCTGGTGCTAAATTGCGGTTCCCCGGAGCTCCCCCAGCTATACCAAAACGGAAGAAAGTAAACAAAAGGGCCCGAGCTTTGCGACGACCCAAGCCCACAGAACCACCACACAACCGCAACCACACCGAGGAAAAAGATACACACAACCCGGCCACAAGACACCACACGTACCGCAGAGAGAGCACGGCGTCGTTGACTACCGTACCTGGACCTGGTCCTCGCCCGCCCTGGCCCTGGGATACCCGAACCAAGTCGCTGCTCTCCCAAGCAACCCCAAGCAACCGAGCCACCGACGATCCGCTTGCTTCCTTTGACGCCATTATTGCCTTTGTCCAGTCTAAAATACAAGCCAGGCCGTCCTGACTGACAGACGACAGCCCCGTTCCCTGGATACCCTTTTCTTCTCTCGAAACTTTCTTCCAGCACCATCCTGCAAGCGCAAACCTCTCGCTCCCTCACCTCCCTCCGTTCTCGGGCTCCAGGGTTGAACACCAGCTCCTCCCTCTCTCTTGCTCCATCTCTGCCGGCGGAATCGATTGAATTGAGATTATCAGCGTCGCCATGACGTCCAGATCGGCCGCGATGGCCGACGAAGGCGTCGCCGAACATTATCAGGTCTTGGAGGAGCTTGGTCGTACGTTGTCTGAATACCTGCGAACACTTTGTGCATGCGCGCTGACAGGACTCTAGGTGGTAGCTTTGGAGTCGTTTACAAGGCCATTGAGAAGGCCACCGGCGAGACCGTCGCCATTAAACATGTGAGCCACCCCCATATTTACATCCTGATGAATATCGCTAACCCGTGGATGCGCAGATTGATCTCGAGTCAAGCGAAGATGACATCCAGGAGATTCAAGGCGAGATCGCAGTGCTCAGCACTTGCGCAAGCTCATTTGTCACCCAATACAAGGGCAGCTTCCTTCGCGGTCACAAGCTCTGGATCGTAATGGAGTATCTTGGCGGTGGCTCATGTCTGGACCTGGTATGTCACTCCGAGTCGCAGCTTATCCTTATCGTCTAAGCTAACATTCCTCAGCTCAAACCGGCCAACTTCGCCGAGGTCCACATTGCCATCATCTGCCGAGAGCTTCTCCGTGGTCTCGAGTACTTGCATGCCGAAGGCAAGATTCACCGAGATATCAAGGCTGCCAACGTCCTGCTCTCCGAGTCAGGCAAGGTCAAGTTGGCCGACTTTGGTGTCGCTGCCCAATTGACCAACATCAAGTCCCAGAGGAACACTTTCGTCGGAACCCCTTTCTGGATGGCACCCGAGGTCATCCAGCAGGACGGTTATAGCTTCAAGGCAGACATCTGGTCACTTGGTATTACCGCTATGGAAATGGCCAACGGCGAGCCTCCTCTGGCCCACATCCACCCGATGAAGGTTCTTTTCCACATTCCCAAGAACTCTCCTCCCCGTCTGGAGGGTGCCTTCAGCAAAGACTTCAAGGACTTCGTGGCGCAGTGTCTCGTCAAGGATTCCGACCGCAGACCATCCGCAAAAGATCTCCTTCGTCACCGCTTCATCAGGTCTGCCGGCAAGATGGAGGCTCTTCAGGAGCTGATTGCGCGCAAGCAAATGTGGGACGCAAACCAGAACCGAAAGTCGCATACCATCTTCTACCAGGAAACACTTAACACCATCTCTGCTAAGGACGACTCAGATGAGTGGGTGTTTGACACGGTCAAGTCGATGGCGCCTAGGCGGCCGACTGTTCGGTCTCGGAAGCCGTCCTACTTTGCGGCGGAGGAGGCCATGCGCCGCCTCGACCTCAAGGACGCTCCGCTCGGCCCTTCGTCTCCCGCTTCCGGTACAGTGCGCCGGTCGACTGTGCGCCGCCAGCCCTCAAGTCGTCAAGCGTCTGCCACACAGATCCAAGCCAACGGGTCGCCTCGTTCTACCGTCGCGAGAAGACCGCTCCAGCCAGACATGTCGTACGGCAACTCTGGTTCTTCCGTACGACTGTTCCGCCGGGTGCCCTCAAACGGCTCCGTCACTGATCCGACGGATTTCTCTGAGTCGGGTGACACCGCTGTTGGGGACGAGAACAGAGCACCGATGAGAGGCGCATGCGTGGAGCCAAACAGCAAAGAGGGCATGCTGGGTCGGCGGCTGTTCAATAAGGCCATCGACCCGACACTCGCAGAGCTGCACGCGCAAACGTCGGGTTTGCAGAAGCGGGAGGCATTGGCCAAGCTCACTGATGCATTTGCTCTCCTGGACTCAGTCGACCCCGAAGGAGCCTACCACGTGATGCGTAACTTGATGTCGGCAGTCTCTCAAGACTCAAAGCTGAACACGGCATTGATTCCTCAGCAGTCGATCAAGATTCCATCGGATGGCACACCGCAGGGCACCGTCATCATCAAGAGCGCTGCAGCAACACCGTCATCTGGTGGTAGCCCAAACAAGTTGGTGCTTGCGTCGAACAACCCGCATTTGAAGAGCCATAGGAGGCGCAACGGCTCGTTTGCAACGCCCGAGTCGACCGAAAAGGAGAAAGAAAGAGAGAAGGCAGCCATGGAGGCCAAATACCCTGGTCGCCCAGCCCGACCAGGCATGGAGCACTGCAACCAACTTTCAGACGTGCTCTACGGCAGGTGGACTGAAGGTTTGAGAATCAGATGGCCAGCTGTCTAAAACTGGCTACAAGATGGGCTACAGGCCCGAAAGAGATGGCAGAGAGAGGTGGCATATCATTATTCACGAGAAACGCTGTATGATGAGAGTGTATGACCACGTCCCAGCATACGGGTTTGAACAGTACACAAAAGCATTGGGAGAGAGTTTTCAGTTCAGCATCGGCAAAGTTTTCGACATTCGGGAGATTGAGATACCGAGATACCGGGATTGGATTTCAGTTTTTGACGACGCAGATGGATGGACTCGGCTACGTGGCTCTCATGACTGATGATATCTACACGGCTGATCCGGGTTTGTCTTCGTCGCATAGGGTGGCGTTTTGGTAGTTTTGTGGTTTTGTGTTTCGGCAGTAGGTAGATACCTAGGTAACGTCAAGGTCTTGAACCAATAGAATAATCGCGCGAAGTCGAGTGTTCCGTTTATGCCTTTGTGATGACAGGGGTTGTAGTTACTAGCCCTCGGTCTGTGACTATGACTCTGGTTCCGGCTGTGGTTCATCCTCTGGTTCTGGTTCCGGGGCGGTGCTCTTCATGGAGAGCTTGATTCTCCAGTTGATGAACTCGTCCGTCAGAATCTCTCCGTGCCCGGCCTCCTCGATCCTAAACACCTCTATCATAGGGCTTCCGGGCCGCCTGCGTATCCTCCAGACTCCGTCATCGTTGACAGTCTGACGAAGCCCTGCATCCGTTAATAACAGACCTCTCTGTTACATTTGAGGGGAAACACTCACAAACAAGGAACTCGGCCGCAAAGTTGACACACATGTCCCCGTTCCAATTCGCCCGTCCGCGTCTCTGGACTGTATCCGGGATCTTCTCCGTCTCAATCTCGTCCACGCTGGTCAACATCCCGTCGCGGCTGCGGAACCCGACAATGATCTTGGGCACGCCCAAAAGAAAACTCTGGATCCAGAACTTCATCAGCTTGCGGTGGAAGTTATCCACATCGCGCTCGTCGCGGATGGCGAGGCTGGTCTTGAGCTCGACCCAGTTCGTGGGGGCGCCCTGTTTGGCGGGCTTGGAATCCCAGACGGCGTCGACCTCGCCGCCGATGCAGATGGTCGTGGCGCCGATGCCGGTGCGCACGACGGAGCAGTACTGCGCGTTGTTGTTGACGACTTCGCGCGGGCGGTTCTCGATGTAGGCGCGCGGGGTGTCGCCCCAGGGCGCCGGGAGGGTCGCGAGCGTCTCGAACTTGTAGCCCCAGAACTGCATCACCTCGGGCGGGATGGGGCCGCGGCGCTGTTGAGCGTTTTGCTTTGCTTGGGAGGCAACTTTGTATTCGTGGTTCTCTTCGATGAAGCTGGGAGGGGGTTAGTTAAGGGGGTTTGAGGTTGGATGTGGTGGTTTGTCGTACATGCAGTCCTGGGTTTGGTCAGCCTTCAGCTCAGATGATGTTTTCGGGGGGGCTTGTGAGGTACTTGGTATAGTGTTGCGTTCATCTCGAAGCTGTGAGGACGTCAGTGTGTCTGAAAAGAAGATGAGTCTCTGCAGCAACTGACCCGTCTCGGTCTTCGAAAGGCGATGCCATGATCTGAGATCTGGTTAGTGGCTTGATATTAGAGTGAATAGGGGCTATATCTTACCTTGGTCATCATACCACGCCATGTGACGATCTGAGCGTCGATCTTCTGCCCCGTCTCTTCTTCGTGAGCCTTGATGGTCTTGAGTAGACTGCCGAGATGTTCGGCCTTAGAATCGTCATGCTTGATGAAGCTGTCGTAGCCATCTGAGAGGTCAACTCCTAAGGGCGGCGTGTAGTAGTATCTCAGTGACGAGTCGCCCAGGTGGAATTCGTGTTTATCATCGTATGAAAAACATGCAAACTCCTGAATATATTGTTAAAGAAGGTCCCAATAGGGCGGAAGCATCGAAAAAATGAGTCCATCAGGTATGAGCCTGAAAATCCGATTTACTACTCACTTTTGGCCGTTTGACTGGCTGACTGGCGCCATAAAAGCGCCCAATAGGCTGGATAGAGAATTCATTCGACATGATGGCGAAATTGGTTGGGGTCCTGCTATATTATCATCGAGAACTTCAATAACCCGATTTTCATATGAAGCTTCTTATATCTTAGAACTTGAGATGAATGACATTCGGTCGGGTGTGCCGGTCGCACCGTGAGTGGCGGGAGGTGTCAACGGAGCATTGCGGCGCGTTCACGCGGTTGGTGGGGGCAGGTGGGATGAGTGAACAATCCGGGGGTGGTGGGGACCTTAGCTGACCTCGACCACTGAAGCGAACCACTAATAGGCCTGGACGAGACCCAGACAGCAGTGAAACGTGCATGCGGATGGCTGGACTGGAAGCACCCGAGCCCCTAGCTGCAGCTGCACGGCCAGCACCTCGATGTCCGCCTTGGCTTTACCCAAATCAACCACATTTCGACATTCCAAGAGCCGCATTTCGAGATACGTCGCGACAACACAGGCTACGATCGCCCTCGCACGCCTTTGATAACCTGACATACCCTCGATACCTCCAATCTCGACGACCGCGATGCGAACCTATCTCCGTCCGACCGTATAAAGCGCCCAACTACCACATCCCTCAGAATGTCGAATCGGTACGGCGGCGGCGCCTACCGCAACGGCAACGGCTATGGCAACTTTGGTCGCCGCGAAGAACCTCAAGACTACGATCCCTACGCCAACGGCTATGGCGGCGACAGGGACAGAGACAGAAGCGACCGCTACGCCGTTGGCTCCCCGCCGATGAACCCCCGATCACCATCCAACTTCCGAAACCCAGGCCCCCCGCCCATGCGCAGCCGCGAGCGCATCCAAGAGAGCAACGCCGAGCGCCAGATCGGCCAGGTCCTCGAGCACATCAAGCAAGAATGGCCCGCCATGTGCCAAAACGACTGTGTTCCCGTCCAACTCGCTCTGCAGCTCCTCGACAGCAGCTCCGTCGGCCGCGCACACGACTACCGCAAGTTCACGGAGGCGCACAACTACGTTGAAGACTCCCTCAAGGGCATCGTCCACGAGCACCATCAGGGATTCAACAGCTCCATAGGAACGTTCCACAAGATCCAGGGCAGCATCCAAGCTTCGCAGAAGAAGGTGCGCACGCTGAAAGAGTCGCTGCTGACGTCCAAGGTGAGCCTGTGTACATCGGACCCGGAGCTTAAGAAGCTCTCGGCCGCATCGCAGGCTTACGACGAGCTGCTTACGACGCTGAACGAACTGGAGGAGTTGAGGCTGGTACCGGATCAGTTGGAGGCGAGAATCTCCGAAAAGAGGTTCCTGAGTGCGGTGGAGGTGTTGCAGAATGCGCTGCGGAAGCTGCGTAAGCCTGAACTGGATGATATCGGGGCCCTGAGCGAACTCCGGGCTTATCTAGCCAACCAAGATGGGGCTCTCATGGATATCCTGGTGGAGGAGCTTCACGAGCATCTATACCTAAAGTCGCCGTACTGCCAGGAAAGGTGGCAGAATTTGGCAAAGACACAAGGTGCTTTCAAGGAGGGTAACTACGAGGCGATTACTATTGCTCCTTTCCACCAAATACTTGACGCCATGGACTTTGAAGGGAAGACGGCCGAGGATCCGGCTAAGAACCCAGAAGCCGATACGTTCTCGTATGTGTCGCTACTGGTGGAGTCCTTGAACAAGTTGGGAAGATTGGAGACGGCCGTAGACACCCTCAAGCAGAGGCTGCCCGTCGAGCTCTTCACCATTGTCAACGAGACTCTCAACGAAGTTGACCAGAGGCACCCCAGCTCGCTTCGCGGCGGCTCTACCAACACCCAGGGGCTGCACATCTACGGCAACCGCGAGACTCAGATGAGGGCTGACGTAATTTACGACCTGCTCTGGACGCTCTTCGGCAAGTTTGAAGCGATTGCAGAGGGCCACCGCGTTTTCCACGAATCGATCAAGGCGCTCATCCGTAGGGAGGGTGCTGGAAACAACAGTGCCTTGCTGGGAAGCTTCAAGGAGCTGTGGAACCTATATCAAAACGAGATCCGTTCTCTACTGCACAACTACGTCACAACGGACGCCGATGTCTTCCAGTTCAACTCATCGCCCAAGCCTGGCGCCAACATCAACGGCAAAAAGGATGCTTCTAGGGAGAATCTCTTCAAGTTTTCCGAAGGCGACCCCAAGGCGGTGGATATGACAACGGAGTACGAAGCTCTCGAGGGCATCATCCGCGCCGCTGTCCCCGGCTTGACCGACACGTCCCGCAAGCCTGGCGCCGACAAGAAGCGAGCAGCGATGGACGGCGTCAGCTCCAAGAGGGGCACCACTGCTGGCTGGGAGAACAAGCAAACACAAGGAACCTACAAGTCCCTCGTCGAACCCAGCGTCTTCAACATGAGTCTGCTATTACCGCCTACCTTGGTCTTTCTGCAGAGACTCAAAATGATCGTCCCGCCAGGCTCCGACCTCGCCACCAGCACTCTGACGTCGTTCCTGGATAACTTCCTCGTCAACGTCTTCCAACCTCAGCTCGACGAGACGCTCGGAAAGCTCAGCGACACCATCTTCGGCGAAGTCGATTCCTTCATCCAGGACCAGGAATGGACCCAAGTTGCCAGGCGGCCCGTCTTCAAGGGTACCACGGCCTTCTTCGCCGTTGTCACTGCCTTCTGCCGCATGCTGAGCACGATCCCACACGACCAAGCTCTCAGCACGCTGATCATCACCCAGATGATGCGCTACTACGACCGCTGCTTCGGCTGGTATAAGTCTCTCGTCAGCAGAACCCAAGTACAGGCTGGCGAGCCCACGAAGCTGCGCATGTCAGCAGGCATGGCTTTGGAGGAGGGTGATGTCCACGAGACCATGAAGCAGCTGTGGACCTCCGACACTCTCGAGCGCGAGCTCTTGGAGAAGGAAGTTGGTCTGCTTATTGTACAGACGAATGAGAAGCGCATGGAGCTCGCAGACATCATCACAGACAGAGATACAGTCTCCTCTCTCTGCCTGCTTTACACCAGCATGAAGTGGCTTGCCGTCAAGATCTCAAGCCTGCGCCACATCACTCGCAACGACGCAGACTCCTCTCGCCCGGCTCTCAACAGGGGCTCAAGCAAGCGTTGGACTCTCATGAACGATCCCAGCAAAGCAACAAACGAGGACGGTCCGGTGTACCTCCCCATGACACAAGAGACAGTGCAGTAAGTCTTCCACCTTGCACCCTGATAACATTTGCTGACCCAAAGCAGAGCCTTTGATGGCATAGTTTCCTCTTTTGAGGAACTGGCCGGCACCGCGCTCCTGACCCTCCACATGGAGATCCGCACAGAGATCATCTACTCCCTGCGCACCGCCCTCTCACCTGATAAGGCGCCCTACCTCCTGGACCAAGAAGTCACGGAGCCAGACCCGGAGATTCTCAAACTGAACTCGGACCTGATCCTCTACGACGAGACGATCGCCAAGTACCTCCGTGCAAAGGAGACGGCGTTCATCCGCACCGGCCTCGGCCTGCTCATCAACGCGTACCTCGTCACCAACGCTGCCTTCGTCTCGCCCATGAACGCAAAGGGCTGCGGGCGCATGCAGCTCAACATCCTCGTCCTCCAGCAGAACCTGAAGAACGTCGAGGAGGGCGTCGACCTCGGCCGCGCGTCAAACTACTTTGCGCTCTTCGACAAGGGCCCCGACGCCATCGTCGACAAGGCGAGGGAGGACAAGGACAAGGACGAGCACGCCGACCCCAGCGACACCTTCACGTACGAGGAGCTGAGGACCCTGCTCGAGCTCTGCTTCAGCGAGCAGCTGGCGAACCCGGAGCGTGGAATCGCAAGCGCTGCCAAGAGGCAGATGGCGGATAAAATGCTGGGGCTTAGCGAGTACATGTGGCAGAGCTAATGAACTTCAGTGTCTAGCGGGATGAGAGGTTAGTTTTGTTTGGCGAGGAGTTCAAGGGTGCAGTATGTCAATTATAGACAAGAGACCACGGCCAAAATCTTTCTGGAGATTCTTATTTTTTTTCGCGGGGGGTATTATTCTTTGTTGTAGTCTATAGCTATCTCTTCAATGCCAAACTTTTCCCAACCACTTATACACATAAAATCAACATTTTTGTTCGCAACACCCCTTTCTACACACCTTCCTAAGACGAAACGAGATCCCTCCCCCTGTTGATCTGCACCTTCTTATCCTCACCACCGCTAACAATACCCCAGCTCTTGTCCCACGCCAGCCCAAACACCTTGGCGCCCTCGCCGCCCATCGGCACCTTCTTGCCCTTGAGCCACTCGCGGGAGATGGTGTACACGGCCTCGCTGACGCTGCCGCCGCCCTCGTCCTTGGTCGCGGGCCGCACGCTGCGCAGGTCCCAGATCTTGACGGTGCCGTCGTGGGACGCGGAGGCGAGCGAGTACTCGTTGTCCGGGCTCGGCGCGAGCGCGGAGACCATGTTGGCGTGGCCGCGCAGCGTCAGCACCGAGGTGGCATTCGCGGTGGCGCGCGGGTCGAGCAGGGTGACGTGGCGCGCGGCGGAGCCGGCGGCGACCAGCGACGAAGCGCCGCCCATGGGCGCGAGGCAGAGCAAGGGATGCATCGTGGTGAGGGTGCTCACGACGCTGCCGTTCGTCAGGTCGAGGGTGCGCAGGGTGTGGTCGGTGGAGGCGGAGTAGGCGACGGTGGGGTCGGAGGGGTGGAAGGCGACGGCGGTGGCGGAGGAGCCCTCGTGGGCGGGGATCATGGCCTTCGCGCCGCGCTGGGGGACGGAGACGGAGGAGCCGGCGGCGGTCTTTGCGCGCTTGGCGGGGAGATCGTCGGCGTCGACCTCGGGGGAGTCCTTCTTGGAGGCGGCCCAGAGGCCGACGCGGCCGTCGGCGGAGGCGGTGAGGAGGCGTTTTGAGGGGCCGTGGACGGCGAGGGAGTTGATCATCTTCTTGTGGCCGTGGAGCTCGAGCGTCGGCTTGAGGTCGCCGGAGAAGCGGTCGGCGGACTCGGTGTACTTCCAGAGGATGACCTTCTGGTCGAGGCCGACGGAGGCGAGCTGCGTCGACGAGAGGAACTTTGCGTCGGTGAGGAGCTTGGAGTGGCCGCCGGCGCGGGCTGAGGCGGAGGTGGCGAGGCACTGGCCGGAGCCGTCCCAGATGCGGACGAGACCATCGTAGGAGGCGGAGAGGATGCGGTCCTGGCCCTGGGGGAGGGCGTCGCCGGACCAGATGCCGGCCGGGGAGGTGGCGGATAGGACGTCGACGGCCGCGACCCAGTCGTCGTGCTCGAAGGAGGCTTCGTAGACGGGGGGGAGCAGGGAGCGGACGTATTGCAGGGTGATTGTGGACTCGAAAGAGAGGCCGTTGGACTGGAGGTATTCTTCGAGGGTCGTGCGGAGGAAGTTTCCGTTGACGAGGAAGTCGAGGGGCACCGGGGAGGAGGTGTTGAGCATCGACTCCGAGTTCAATATCCTCGAGAGGCCATATCGCTTGATGTCTGTCGGGCGAGGGGGAGTTAGTTTCTCATGCCATTGGGACTTGGTGTCGCTGGTGCTGCAAACCTGCGGGCACAATCAGTTGCCTCTTGCTCTCGTCGAGCTGGAGGTCTTCATGCGTCGTTGTGAAGTTGACCTTCACCTGGGCCACCGAGGACTCCATTCTGGGCGATTGGCACCGAGATGCCTTCGGGCTGTCTCTGTTGAGAATTGATGAGAGCGATGGGTTTCTGGTTCTCGATATGTAGGGTCTTCAGCTTCCTTCCGAAAGCGAAAGCTCGTTCGTGCGTTTATTCGGCGTGTGCAGTTCGTCGGTTGGCAAGTACTGGAGCAAAAAGCCGACGGACCGTTCTCCATCTAAATTTTTTTGAAGATGGCTGTCAGCCTTGCAGAAATCTTTAACCCCCGCTGTAGTGCGTCGCCCAATCAGTGACGCAGCGCAAAAAGTGCCTGCTGCTAGGCTGGGTACTGCCCCGCACTCACCAGCATCTAGCGCCAAGGGTGTGCCAGTGGGGTTTTTTATTTATTTACTTTACCATTCAGGTCCCGTCGATTCGAGAAATTCCAGTCTCTCGTATTATTTCGCGTAGGCAGCACCGAGTTTGCGCAGAACGAGATATATGTAAGCTATTTAGCAACCCCGATCTCCCGTGGTCAGAGCTTCGCCTTGCCAATCCCAAAATCAATGGCCCTTTTTTTTCTCGGTAATGTTACAAATTGCAGAGCTGTTCTTTAGTCCCCAAGTCCAAGTATGGTTATTCTACCGTGAATTAGACAGAGGCGCTTTCTCCTCCAGATGTCTGGTCTTTCGAAGCCTCCAAGATAAAGGCCTCTTCAATGGCCGCCCGACGTCGGAAGACGCGCAGCCAACGCTCGCCCCAGCGCCGGAGAAGACTGTCGCGCTGACCCGCTCCGTCCATCTCCTCCATCATCTCGTCCTTGCTACCAGAGGCCCAGCTCACCAGAGCATCCTCCATCGCCTTGAAAAGGTCACGCATGGCCTTGACCTCTCTCTCCTTTGCCTCATCATCTGCATCAGCTTCTGTCTGCAACTGTCGGACGCGACCTGTGACCTTGGCGACCGTTCCAAACACAAGCTCGAAGACATGGGTCTGCGCCAGAGAGTCCCCAGATGACTGGCCGTTGATATGGTTGCTGCTCACTAATGCCCAGTCAATGACTGAGAGAGGCAACAAGATTGAATAGTTGAGAAGCTTCTCCACGATGGAAATAGCCACACCAGGCTGGGCAGCCCAGTATGACATGACTGCGGTAATGATTTGGGCCTTAGCCGCCTCAGACGCCGCACCCACGTCAAGGAGCCGATCCTTGGTTCGTTCGATGCATGCCAGGACATGGCTAAGAGATTTCGACCCTACCCAGCAGACGGCTGTGACGAAGACATCGGTGCTAGTCACCAAGGGGTCCAGGTCGTGCTCTATGGCAAGCGAGTGAATCTTCTCAATGATAGGCTGGAACTCTTCATCTGGAGCTTTGCGTCTCAGAAGTGAGGCGATTTCACGTCCCTCGGCCGAGAAAGGGGTGCCTTTGTCCTCGGTTAGATTCATGAATGGTGGGGAGGTGATCAGAGGGTACTCACTTTCGTCGTTGAACTTGAAGTCAGGGACGTCCTTCTCCTTATCCGGGCCGATAAGAGGCTGGTACGGCTCAGGCAGAGTGCCCTTGATGCGCTGAGCAAAGCTCAATCTGATTTCCTTGTCCAAGGCTCCGATAATGAACGCCTTCTTGGGGTGGATGTCAGGTAAGAAAACGTCATCGACCCACTCTGTCCACTTCCAGGTGAAGCCAAAGTTGCTCAAGTGGTGAGAGAACCAATCGACAAATCTCTGCGAGAGCTCAAGATCCAGTCGGCTGGAATTGCGGTACATGTGTCGAATCGCACGGCCCAAACTGGGCGCAATCGCGGCCGGCGCAATCTTGCAAGCCTCGGTCAGCACGGAGTGGTAGTAAACAAGCTTATGCTCAGGCGTGGGAAGCTGGAAGAGCTGTGAGAAGACAGCGTCGACGGCGACGTCCTCAGGCTTCCATGTCGACTTGCCAGACTCTATGTCGCGCAGCCTGTCAAAAGGAGTGGCTCGCTTGACGAAGGTAGTGTCGGAAAAGTAGCAGTCGAGATCAATCAAGTACCTAGCAGTAACATTGCGGTTGTAGTCCAGGATGTTGATAGTATCAACCAAACCATCGCGAATCAGTGAAGAAGCAATGTCTGTGACAGGAGGTACCGACCCAACTTCCTGGGAGCTGTACACCGAGAAATAGACCTCGGGAAACAAAGGTCGAGGTCCAGCAATGATCTTCTCGGGAACAGTAATGGCTGGCAAGGTGTGCTTGGTGGCATTGTCAAGCTTTTCTTGGGCTTCAATCTCCTCCAGCGGTAGCTTCCAGGGTCTGGGAAGGCACGAGAGTTCCCAGTTATTCGCAGCCTCCTGGTGAAGCTGCTTTTGCAGCAGGGCAATCACACTCATTGACCCAGTTGGCTCATCTTTCTCCGCAAGGTATGGGTCGATCAGCGCTTGGAGCGCATGGGGTTCGGAGGCGATGATGTCGGTCTTCTCCATGAGATCGGCTGCCTTCTGCTGCCACTGTCCGGGCGCAGCAGCCATAATGTAGGGAATCGTAAAAAGAATAATCTTGACAAGCTCTGTGCCAATTGTCTGCGGACTATTAGCTCATTCTCTTGTCGCAAGTGATGGAAGGTCCTACGTCATCTGAGCTTGCAGTCTGCAGGTCTACAGCGCGATTGAACAGCTCGTCCAACACGTTGAAAATTCCCTCGCCGTCCAAGGAGCTCTGCAAACAAGCCAGGAGCTTCAAGTAAAGCTTCACGTCTCTCCATTGTCCGGCCTCGATCTTTTCCTGAGTCGCAGCGCTGAGCTTGACGAGGATCTCACCCACAATCTCCGGCTTGAGGGTGTTCACCAGGAGGATGACACCAGCAACGAAAGGCGTTTTGAGCGGCTGCTCCAGCGCAAGCTGAAGAACGAGGCTAATAAAGCTCTCGCGCAGCTCCGTGTCTTCGGTGTTATCAGCGACTACGTGTGCGATGCTCTGGACTTCTTCGTGCCATCGTCGGAGAGGAGACTCGGCAAGGGACAGCAGCTGTCGGCGAACCCTCACAGGAAGAGGCGCGGAATCGATTCTTCGGCGCTGCTGTCGGTGATCGTTGTCATCATCGTCTGTCATCGGCAAGAGGCCTGTGGTGAGCTTCTGGTGAAACAAGACAGGGGCGGAAACAAGCTTACCTCTGTACCTTCTCTTTCTGTTGTTGTGGCCACCGCCGCCGTGATGGCGTCTGCGCTCGTAGTCACCCATTGTGTATCTCAGTGAAGGCTGCTTGCGATTGTCGAAAGCAAGTCTGAGTCTAGACGGGTTGGCGGATTGAAGTGAGGCTTTCCGTACGGGCTGCAGCCTCGAGAAGACGGGATCCACGTCAAAAAGTTACAGAAGGAAGGCGCGAGCTTCCCCTGCTAGCTGAACCGTCGCGCGTCAATTGACCCGTTCAATGTCACCTTTGTGGTAGGCTTTGGTGCACTGTTGCCTGAGGCAGAACATCAGGTGGCCCTCTCACCTTTCGAGGACAGCTCTCCCTGACCACCCCGACATCGCCTCACTCAACAGGCTCAGGCAAGTACCGCTACACCCAGCTACAAATGCAATCAAACACGCATCTGCATCACCTCTCATCCGAACTTGGGGAATCTTGAGATTGCCTCTGGAAATGCACGTTCGCGGCCAAACACCACATAGAATCCGAGTGACAGCCTTGCATTGATCTTACTTGGCCCCTTTGAGCCAGTTCATAACGACAGCAACATTCTTTCCCACCCTTTTTAATTGACCTGCTTGGCTCGCCATCATTGCGTTGCCATGAATAAACAGAGAAAGCTGAAATCTTTTTCCTTTGGAATCATGCCTAAAACCAAATCCAGACCTACCGCCCACGATCCCCGACTTATGGGAGCGGGCTTCCCGACCCTCCAGCCGCCCTCCAACATCCATGAGAGAGTTCAAACCTACAACAGTATATGTCCACCACGCATCTTCCGAGTGCTGACAAGCAAGGCGGCCTCGCCGGACCATAATAAGCGATGAAAAGACGAAAAAGGGTAGGCCGGACCGTCCAGACAATCGCCTGCCGTAGCATGAGGAAGCCGTTTTTCGTGAAGAATGAGGGGAGGACAATGTGAGAGCCATCTCAGGTCATGCACCAGAACGTGGTCTAGAACGCCGTCTCCTGCGAAATGCAACAATGCAGCCTTCCATGGAAATGGTAAGCAACATGATGCACAACCCGTAGACACGCCTCGATGGGCCAATGTTTGCCTATCCCTCTTCTCCGCCAGCGCGAAGAGCCACCGCTTCTTAAGCACGAGACATCTTCGCATTCCTTCGCCAACGAAACTGTTCCTTCGAGCGATCGACGCAGCCAGCTTCTAATCGTCATTCCACGTTCAACATCTAATCATCACTTGGTCCGCGTTCGAGGAGAGGCCGATGCCTTGCTGTCCATGCATACTCGATTTCATTATGCGCTGGTCGGACGGTGGGTTTGCGGCCGAGAAAAGTCGGGAACGATCCACGAGTGCGCTGAGTTCCTGGACATGACCTCGGCTTGTTCAGTCCAATTTAGCCATCATATCTGCCTTCGGAATCGGAGTGAAATTGTCAATGTCCAATCCCCTGCCGGCCAAGACAGGCTTGATGTGAGCAGGCACCAATTGGTGGTTCAGGTTCGGCGCGATCGAGAGCTCTGTGGCATTGTTAGAAGCGATGTCAGGTCTCAGAGTCCAAGGTACTTACCGTGACGAGTGAAATCGAACAACGGGGGCAGGTCGCGGACTTCACCGCTCTGGTGCCGGGAGTCGGGCAACCTCGTGTTGGGGTCTCTGAGCTCATCGAAGAATGGGTGGACCATGGCCTCAACAGCTGCTTGTCTCTCAGTCGGCGTGTACTCGAGAAGACGGGCAATGAGGTCGATGGCGTTCGCATCCGCCTTCCGGAAGACCTTAGCGAAAGGATGCGGCTTTATCTGCGGGAACTTGTGCTCCATGTAGTTCGGGTTCATTGTGCGGATCTGCTCCCTAGTTGGTGTGCCCAGCACCTTAATGATCTCCACCAATTGATCGATGCCTGACTCTCCAGGGAAGAGCGGTTGTCCGAGCATCAATTCAGCCATGACACAACCAGTAGACCAGACGTCTGTAGGGTATGTTAGAATTGCTACGGGTGGAAGCATAACCTGAGGGGTACATACCAATCTTGGTCGTATAGTTGGTGGCACCGAAAATGAGCTCTGGGGCTCGGTAGTATCGTGAGCAGATGTACGACACGTTCGGCTCGTTCTCGACGAGGATCTTTGCGCTACCGAAATCGCACAGCTTGAGGATGCCTGATGTGGGGTCCAGAAGCAGGTTTTGGGGCTTGATGTCACGATGGCAAATGCCCTGAGAGTGAATGTAGGCGAGGGCTCGGAAGAGCTGATAGATGTAGAGCTTGACTTCCAGGATGGGCATCGTCGTTTTCATCTTGTTGAAGAAACGCGACGCGCGATACACGGTTTCGGGGACGAATTCCTGGACGAGATTGAGGTAGACCTCGTCTTTCTGTGTCGAGTCAGTGAATTATTCCCGTCTAGGCGCTTCAAGTGTTCTTACGCGTTCGCCGTTAGAGTAGTAGAAGGCTTTCAGTTGGACAATGTTAGGGTGACGGACGATGCGCATGATTTGCAATTCACGGTTCTGCTCGAATTGTTAGCGCGTGCCCGTCACAGACGCGCAAGAATTGCGAACCTTGAATCTCTTGTCTTGGAGAACACGCTTGATGGCGGCGTCTTCTCCTGAGGGCGAAAGCTTCGTCTGGAAGACGACGCCGAAGGAGCCATTGCCAACAATCTTGCACTGCGTGTACTGCAGATCCCTCGTCTCACCAGTTATTCCATCTTGCACCTTTTCGCGAATAACCTCTACAGCGGGGGGTTAGCATGGCGAAACCGATGGGAGGATTGTAATTGCCGCAGCTTACCTCCCATCCTGAGAGTGTTGAAGGCAGCGGGGCGATTCTGCGCCATAGCTCAGAAGGTGTTGTCAGCACGGCTTAAGCCCTGCTATTGATGGCCGGCGTAGGGCGGATTGAGGTCGAGTAGAGTGAGGGGTAACAGATCCGAGACTCGACGGCGGGCCGTGATGGGCAGCAGGGAACGGAGACTGTGCTTTGCTTATGTGAAATCCGTGCAAGAGTAATTGCACGAAGATTAGAGTATGGGTCGACGAATCAATTGCTCGTTTCGAGGACCAAAAGGTAGAGGCAGGTAAGGTCGCGAGTAGGACTGAAGACGAAGGCGGCACCGACAGCGGATTTGACTCGGGACTCGGCTCAGCGTTTCCAGGGACGTAGGATCAGAGGTAATTTCGAGACTGAGGTGCAACCTTTCGGAAGCTGATTGCTGTCATTAGCAGGTGGAAAAGAAAAAGAGATGCAGTAGGGACGCTCAAAAGGTCATTCGTCGTTGACAGAGCGGGAATGGGCAGGGTGTGGGCGTGTCGTGGGACGAGCAATGATGAACGAGGATGACAGACGAGGGGTGCGGGGCGGGAAGTATTTTGACAGGGAGAGGAAAGAAAGTGGCAGGGCAGGGGAATATGAATGATGGCGACGATGCAAGACGAGTGGTGGCAAGTTAGGAGCAAAGGCGACAGGACGGGAGGGAAAGGTATGAGTAAGGTCGCTCGCTAGGTAAGGTAAGGTAAGGTAAGGTAGGTGTAGGTAGGTAGCAGCGGGACAGAAGACGACTGGCCAGGACTTGACGGGACAGACGAGAGCGCGAGACTGAGGCAGAGGCAGAGCAGAGAGAGGTGAGGTAGGTAAGGTAGTGGCAGAAGAACAGGAAATAGGGAGGGGGTGTGGGAGTGGTGGTGTATGCTGGTAGATGCGCTATGCATGCAGCACCGTACTGCAGTGAGGTGATTTTCGCTCTCTGGCCAAAGGCAAAGGGAAAAAACTGCCAGGTACGTGCAGCAGGCCAGAACTGCGAGGCAACTGCTGAGGAGGTACTGTGAGACCTGACGCTGCACCTCTCTTTCTCTCTCTCTCTCCCGTCGCCCAGCTCAGTGCAGAAACCAGGTCACGGCAGGACGAGGCAAGACCACGTTCTCGTGTGTACATGAACTGGTGACGACGGGCCTAGAGACAGAGCAAGGTATAGTGCAGAGCTTCTCGCAGAACTGCGAGGTGAGGTGCGTTGCGGTAGGTTGCGGTGGGCTGTGGTGTCTGTCTGTCTGCTGTCTGGCCCAGTCGGGGTCGGGGGGTGTATGATTTTGTGGTGTGCAAAGGGACCGGGAGGGAAGGGGGGAATGTGGTGATGACGGCACAGCACGTCGCTGAGGGGCAGGCTTGGGCCAGGCTCAAGGATCGTGATGTTCTGCCTCGTGCTACACGACGGGGGCCCAGGCGTGAGGGGAGGTTGGGTCTAGGACTTGACGAGAAGGGCAGGAAATGTGCACTCACAACAAGGTCAACACACAAGGTATGGCAATTGTCTACGAAGGTAGAATGCTTGCCGCGCAGGAAGGAAAAAGGGCGATGGGATCGGGCAGCTCTGGGTGGTGGCTGCAAGGTGCGTCCGAACAGTGTCTGCAGTGCAGGACGGCGCAACGAGAGGGACAGGTGGTGAATGCTGCTAGTTGTCTGTCCACGGGGAAGAAAGAAGAAGAGGAGAAAAAAAGAGGATCGTGAGTATTGGAGCAGATCTTCGAGGACGGTTCTTTTCGAGGGGCGTGTATTCGATTGTCAAGGAGGGATGGCGAACGGGTACCGTTTGGGCGAGAACGATGCACGACGAGCGTGGTGAGGTCGAGGTGCCGAGAGGTGGGAAGAGGAGGATGTTGTCACGCCGTTTAGAAGCGCGAGGTGGGTAGCAGGTTGGGTTGGTTGGTGGGAGAAGGACCCAGGCAGTGGTGGTGGAGAGGGATGAAGTAGGCAATGTTTGGTGCGGCAAGGCCAGGTCGAGGTCAAGGCCGTGGTAGCGGAGGGTAGGGAGGTACTTTGAAAGGAGGGGCAGCCCGGGGTGTGTGGTGCTCTTGAGGCCTCGCGGACCACACGGCAGGGCAGACTAGCGCGCGCAGCTGGACGAGGAATGACGGAGTGCGTCCCAAGTCCAGCGACAGGGCCAGGGGTCGCAGAGGCGTTGGTGCTGCTGCTGCTGCTGCTGCTGCTGCTGCTGGGTTTCGTGGTTTGGTGCAAGAAAAAGAGACAAGTGAGGAAGAGTAGCACAACTCAATCCAATAGAAAAGTCGCCAGCCAGGGGGTGAAAGGTAGAGAGAAAGAGAGAGAGCTATAACAGTGTGTCTAGTATCAACTGAACCGAACTAAAAATGTTCAACTGAAATGCTATCTGCCGGTCAGATAGATAGATATCTAGCTGGATATGACAATTCGAGTTTCAATTAGCAAATTCTCCAGCACGGCGAGCTTTCTCAAATTTGGATCTTGGCGAAGAAGAAGATTGTGTCTTACTTGCTTTTTCTCCCTCTATGTCTGCCTCTATCTCTGTCTTCAATCCACTCCGTAACGTTCTAGGACGGAAGAGACGCTGCGATGGAACGGTGATGTCGGTGTGCACCCAAATAGGTTCAGGCAAGCCCAAGGTGAGAGATGAAAGAGCGGGCGCGAGAGATGTCTTTGTGCGTAGGTAGGAAGGTAGGTATTGTTGTACTTTGTACCTGAGACTTCTTAGGCTGGTGGCGTAGCAGATGACAGCGCGGGTGACCAGGTAAAAGGTGGCCTGGAAGTCTGTTCCGCCACGGTAGCAGTCGGCGGCGGCTCGGTACCGTTGTCGCGCAAGCAGCACCGAAGGAACACACAGACTGGAGCGGTACGTGTATGTAGGCAATACTGCAGCAGCAGGTGGTAAGGGAGTAAGGTTGCGTGCAAGATCCCGCGTGGAGGGTGGTGTATGGAGGGTTTTTGAGTGAGGTGCACACGCGGAGGCGTGAGGGGCGGCGGAGGCTCTCCCAGGATTTGAGGCAAGGTCAGATAGGCCGGCGCGCCGTGCGAGAGCTATCGGAGATCCAAGGGCAAGCTAGGGAACGGTACGGTGCGGTAATGTAGCCTTCGGGGCGTTGGCGGTTGGGACGTGGGAGGAGGCTCTCAGTCAATTTCCAGCCCAGGCCAATTTTGATTTCCCTGTACAAAAACGTCGGGTAGATCTTAAGTAGGTATCTTAGGCGGTTGGCCGGCGAGTTTTATCGACGCAAGCCGTTCGCTTCAATCCCAGTCGGTCGGGTGACGATGTGAATTTTGATGTAGACAATCGTCTGTAGAGTTTGTGGTGGCAGACTGGGGAGCTGAAATAAGGTAAGGTACGGACGGTGAAGTTGGTGGTGACTGCGGACGTAGTTGCAGATGCAGACGTGGCATGCGATACACGCGGGAGATGCTTGACAGCCGGAAGCTGCCCGTTGAAGAGAGGGGAAATGTTCCAGGCGGACGGGCTCAAGCTTACCACCTCTAATTCAGGTGGTGGACAATAAAGGGGGCGAATACTGGAGACGTGAAGCTTGACGAGGAGGTATCTGAAAGCCAGAGACGGAGAGGTGATGCGAGTCAAGACGATCGATGGCTGAACAAAAGTTGACCAACGGATCAGCAGCACAACTACTCTGCGTTCGGCCAAGACAAACACTGAATGGCCACACGCAACAAAAGTAAAGGCAACCTAACAGAGGGACAGTTTGGTCAGAACTCAGAACAGCAAGTAAGCAGTCCGGTCCCCGTCAAAGTCCAAGAAATGAGAATCCTCCTCAAGTCAATTCCAGGCGCAGCTTAGGCTGAGCAGATACAGCGCACCGAGATCGAGTTAGCCTTTTGTTGTCGACCACCCTAGACAAGGACCCGCTGCACCAGGCGTGCTCATGTGCTCTTTTTGAGACGGGGAGGCAGGCGCTAAAACTCGGCAAGCGGAAGTCAAAAACCCAATGGCCGCTCGTGCTTGCGGCCTCCTGTCAGGTTGTGACAGCCAGCTGGGGCTCCAAAGGCATCCATGACTGCACCTGTTGCACCTGCACCTGCACCTGCACCTGCCTTACTTCAAGGTACCTACCTACCTTTTGCAGCAGCCAGTTTCCAGGTGTTCCCAAGTCAGTGTACCTACCCATCTAAAATCAGGTAGGCAGGTACCTCTAATTCCTTACCTAAAGTAGGTACCTTATGTATTCGTGCCTTCCTGCCTAGGTACATTGTAAGGAAACAGCCAAGCCAGTGGAGGCAGGCAGGCAACATTGGGGATGGAATTCGAGAGTGCTCTTGCCTCAGTATGTACGCAGTAAAAGACTTAAGGGAGAGAGACAATTGACCAGCCGCAACTTCCCTGTCTTCGGAGAGTATGCCTTCCACGTGCACGTCTTGAATAGAGCAGCGCGTCACGTGGTGCCCGTCTCTTTGACCCCGTCCCTCTTCGACTTCGTCACTCGCATCGTCTGCAGTCTGCTCTCGCTCCCTGTCCCATCTCTCTTGTTTTCGTCCTACGTACCTTGGTTAGGACGGCCCGTATCCACCACCTTACGTCTAGCTTGCTCCTATTCGCCCCAGTACTGTCGACTACCTCTGGCCAGCTGACCTGCTGGGTCCTCCCATGCGTACCGGACCTGTACACGAGCCAAGGGGATCAAGCCATGCACTAACCAAAAGTCCAATGCGCCGTGCGTTGGGACTTGGCTCTTGGAACTTGGGCCGACCTGCTTGCTGAGTATCCGATTCTGCAGGGTCCAAAGTCCATTCCCGCTGCCCGCACGTTCCCCGAATCTCCTTCGTTCTGTTCTGTCCGTTCCTCCCGTTCAATTTGACGTCCTCCGTCAGAGCCGCTCGTTCGCTCATCTCCGGTTCAGAGTTTTTTAAGCTTCCTTGATGCATTCATTGGGCGATCAAAAAGCAAGCTCGGGAGAAGCGCATTTAGGATCGGCCCTGCGCCCGTTTGGCAGGCAACTCCCAGCACAAGAAACAACGAATGTCCCGGCCCGGAGAACTAAGGCAGTGTCAAGCCAGCCGCAGGACCACAGGGTTGGGTATCGCCAC